TATTTTTTAATAATCCCTTTTTCATTCGACATACTTTATCTTAATCAGGATATTAATAAGGAACTAGCAGTTTATGAAGCTTTTGGAATAATCCACCAATTTTTTAAAATTAAACACTATCTAAAGATTTGCATCGAAGCGTTTTTTTTTAATAGTGATTTTAATCACTGTCAGATATCATTATACTTAATCCATCTATACCACGTCACCACTGTGCCGCGACCCACCTGTGCTGGGTTTTTATTTTTTCAAATGACAAAATATATAATTAACTTGCTTATTTATTAGATAATGATCTAATTAATGAGTGTCCGATAAAAACTTTTGGACCAGTATGTCAGAAGTTAATGATATTTTTATAACTAGGTGGGAGAAAAAGTTCAGCCGAGAAATTACTATTGATAAAAATGAGTCGAATCTTTCATGTTAAAGCATTGGTCAGATCTGTCCTTGTTATAAATATGATTTTGTCCGATTATGAGTTGTTTAATTTCATTTTAACTTACATATTATTGGTTATTTTTAAATAATTAAAAAATTATTTAAATTGTAAAATATTTTTAAATACCATGAGATACATAGAAATTATTTCTATTTAAATGATTTATTATGATATAAATACAATAATAATTATTACTTTTTTATCAGTTATTCACTAATTTTTTAATTAACCCCTTATACATTTAAAGTTGTCAACTTTATTTTAGCTTCGATGCGAAGCTGAGAAGGTATTGGTTTTACTAAGATGTGTTTATTTTTATTTTATTTTTTTGTGTCTGTTACCAATTTTTCTCAGCTCTCACCGAACGGATTTCTTTCAACAATACGTCAAAAGATCACAAATCGTATCTAGTCGAAGACATTACCCTTAAAAATTGAAAAAAATTCCCTCGTTCCCCGTAAATGGGGGAAACCTCCAAAAAAATTACAAATTTAAAAATCGCTAATTTTCGAAATTTTTTCAATTTTTTTTACTTAAAAGTGCCATAACTTTTTCAAAAATGAACATATCAATATAAATCTTTTTTATATAGATGCATAATATCATTACCTATCATTTGGTATATTTTTTTGTAAATGTGACACTTAACCTGCCTACAGGGGGGAATTTAAAATGACAACTTTTTCACAAAAAATTAACTTTTTCAACTTAACTTTTGAAAATGTTCCGGAAGGTCTGACACTTTTATATATATCTTAAATTAAAGCTTATGTAATATACTTTAATTTAAAAAAAAAAAATTGACCTTTATATATATATATTTTTTTTATTTTTAAAAATAAGTAATAAAAATTATGCTTTTAACATAATCTAAAAATACAAAAATTGTTTTAAAAAAAATATCAGCAAACTTTTTACTCTATGAAAAGTTAAAAGAGTTATCTGTTACATCTGATCCATCTGTACAGTTATACAAGCTGATTTTATTGTAAACTATTCTGTTGAAATATTTAATTAACTAATCAAATACATTTTATAAAAATTTTTGCAATACTTTTAAAGAAATGTACATAATATATTTCAGAAATAAGTAATTAAGGTAATGACTTTTTTTTACACATAGAAATAGTGGTAGAACAATAATTGGAAAGTAACAACTGATTTACATAGTAATATTATAATTAAGTACAATATAGGCCCCTATAGTTATATTATGAGTGAGACAATAATAACTAACCCACCTCTTCAGATATAAGATACCGTATTATAATTCAAATTAAAATAATACAATTTTAATAAAAATTGATGATAAAATTACTATTATTTGAGTATTTACCATCTCTCATAACAAAATTTCCCCATAAGCTACATCTCTTATTGGTGATATTGATAATATCCAAGACATATATAATCTAGATTCCAGTACTGATTTCTTATATAAGTAATATATTGTTATTATCCTTAAATAACAGATCATTTTTTTAGTCACACCTAGTTATTAGATTATTTATGTACATCACTCAATAATTTATGGAATTTTATTTAATCAGCCCAACTATTAAATAATGTATCTAATAACTTGTTTTAAGTCTAGTTTTGAATCCTTCATATCACCATTATTTTCATTTAAAGTAAAAAACATACAAAGTTTGCGACAACAAAAATATTACATAGATTTAAAATTGTTAATATCTTCTGAAATACTGATTAAAAATTTGTTATTAACCAGTAATTTTGAATCACATTCCATTATATGAAATAGTTAAATATGTATGTTTCCATTTAAAATAAAAAAATTTGTACCCTTATAAAAAAACAATGGATTGCATAAAAAATATTTAACACTCAAAAAATTAAAAATAAATAATACTTACTAAACAAAATCAAACAATTTTTTTTTCAAAATGACTATTAATTTAGTAAAAATTTAGTGGTCAATGATAAATCAATCACCCTCTATTTACAGATATTAATGAAAAAAATTCAATAGGTTTTAAAATAATAAGGTCTGAAATAAATGAAAAATCTAGAAACATAGTAATACATATGAATATATTATTTATTTTATTTATATTAAATAAAATTAATTTTAATAATTATATGAACCATTCATAATTTTTGTTTTAACTCCTAGATATAGACAATTCTTAGCAGAATAGCAAGAAAATTACATATTGAGATTTTATGCATTACCATTTTTTATTTATTACAGAAGTTATGAATTAAAATCATAATTTTATTCGTAATAGACTCCTAGTATTCATGATAATTAGATACCAATGGTCTCTTTAATTCACCTCTGATCAATAACAATTTAATAATATTAATATTATTAATATTCAATAATTATTCATAGCCACATTTAAAAAATATTAATTACAGACATAGGCACATATTACCAATCAAAAAATGAAATAGTTTATTATATTTATATTATTGTTTACAAAAACTTACCACATTTTCACATAAATTCATTTCTCAAATAAAATATTAGAATTTTGATGTTTAACAATTATTTTAAACACTAGGATTGTGCTTTGTACATTAAAAACTAACTAATTAATTTTTTTATTTAAGTTAATTGCAATAAACGTTCAACAAAATATTAAAAATTTATTTTATTTCGATATCTATAAAACAATATATGCAGTGATTCACCTGTCTGGACACTACACCGCATACGGAGACTAGACTACTGTTATAAATTGAATACCGACAAACAAAACAGGTTCATGGATAATGAGCATGCGCAATAGGTAAAATCCTTATCAGTGCCACCAATATTCATAAACATAAATACCGTATAATTTATTTCATTTTTTTAAACATTTCCTCTATGAGCGTGCAATTTATCCAAATCATGATGCGATAAAATTATTTAGTATGCAGACTATACAAATAAAATTTTAACGGAATGTTTATTTTGATTTTCACATAAAAATGAGTAAAATTGATGGTTCACATATAAAGCTAAATCATAAACGTATTTATAGCCAGGGAATGCTAAGTACAACTCTATGACACTATTAGAAATATAAGATCACGTCTCGAGATATGACATTTTTAATTTAAAGGATTTCAAAGTGTGACCTTCCATTTTTTTGGCTACACTTAAAGAATAGAGAATAGTTTTGAAAAATTTTAATTACAATTCATTTCAAAAGGAAAAGCAAAACAAATTCTGTTTGTGTCCTTGTGAATAAGGGATAAGAATACTTCCACAGCCACTCTGTCAGTCGTAAATGGCGACTAATGAGGTTGTGTCAGGTCGACGCCGGCGTATAATTTTTGTAAAAAAATATGTGAAGTCCTGAACAAAATTTAGGCGGATTGTCCCATCTCGGACGTATGTGATAACAACAGGTTAAGAAATCTTAAATTTCTTGGCTTATATACAGTGTCTACAAAAAATAAGAAAACGGATTAATTGTTGCAAACAATAGAAACTTTTATTTGTTTATTGAACACTCTGCATAAATAATTCACAAGGTTTTTTCATGACTGATATAGCTTCCTTACAGTGGAGTATACCATATAGGTATATGGGAATGATGGGATCAGTAACGTACCCAGAAATTTTAAGTAGTAAGAGGATATTATAGAAATATGCTACTCCAATAATCTTTTTTTTAGTCATCAGATTTTTCTTATGTGCTTACTATGTAAACAGTTGGGTTACTCGCCTTAGTAAATACTACCCAGGATATTATGTTTAAAATACTATATTAATGTAAGTTTACAAATATTTTAACAAATTCTTTGTTAAAACAATATATACAATATAAAACAAAAAACTTAACGGAAATATCATACCTATCTATGTATTTAGCTATTTTATTGACATTGTGAAGAAAATATACATTTTTCTTTTTACATATCATGTATAAATTGTATATGTACATTTTTGTCTATTAATTATTGGTACCATAATAAGATAAAGTAACAATATCAAAAATGATTCCAAGACAATATTTTTAAATTTTATTTCTCAGATCAATACATAACAATATTTCTTCAGCTTTATATAGTTATTAAGATGAGTGTATTTATATTTTATATTTTTTGAGTAATCTAAGTTATAAAAAGTTACATTACAATATAAATTTCGACAATTATTTATTTAAAATTAAATAGATTGGGTTAAATCATATTCATTCTTAAGAAATAAAATAATAAATAATAATACACATTCTCTTTCATTGACTTAACAGTCATAGTCTAATGATAACATTAAAAATAAATAAATCAATTACAGTACTTATAATTATTAAAAACACCAAATAAAAATATTAATTGTTAATAAATTTTTGTACAAAGAGTAAAGTACAGAGATGAAGAATATTTTCATAACAAAAACTAATATTTAATTTCTTATTTTAAGAATAATTTGTATTTATAAAAGTATGAAAATATAATTTATTAAATACTATAGCACCTAGAATTATTAAAATAACTTATTTTAACACAAAAGTAATCTTTTACAAAAACATTAAAACACAAAGAAAAAATATACAAATATTTTTTTTTTAATAAAAAATATAGGACTCAAGTTAAAACACATAATTTTAATCATTGAAAAAAATTCAATTTCATTAATTTAGAAACTCGTTGAATTAATTTTTTTTTTCCATCCACCACTTTTTTAATGAACTTTCTGGATTATTTGGGCTAATTATTTTTTTACTCTTCATTATTTTTCGTTTCTTATAATTTTTTTTTAATATCACACTATTGGCTGGTTTTTTAATAGATTTGTGAAGTTGAGGTGATTTATTCAATGGTGTTACAGCTATTGTCATAATTGATGGTAATAACTTTGATGTTGTAGGCTTCATCACATCAAATGCCAAAGAAGAAGGTTTTGCTTTCTAAAAAAGTTGTTTCAATTATAATTAAATTAATTAATGTTTCTTAATAAAACTAAAGCATTTTTAGAAAAAAAGTCACATTCCTTATTTAATTTGCTAAAATCTACGAAGTATTTTCATTAGTTAAAACTTAATAATATCATTTACAGAATGATCCATTTATCATGAACTCACTAAATTACTCACTTACTAAAATAGATACAATATTATAAACAAATTTTTATTCTTTTAGTCACATTTATTTCTTTATTGATCAGTACTTAACTATTTTTAAGTATCATCTCTTATAATTTATCTCTGTGGATGTCAACTTAATTTAATTTAATGACAATATACATAAATAATAGCATTTAAAATAGTAAATGATCTATTTAATTAATATTAATAAATTACAACTTATATATAAAAATAATAATAATAATAATCATGTATCACATCTTCTCTAAAAGTTATTGTTTGTGTTAGAGAGGATGGGATCCTATATAACCCAACGTAGCAGAATCAAATTTGAGTGTCTATGCATTGAGAAACAATGTGTTACCGACTGAGCTACATAAACCAATTTACTTTTGGATCAGTATATTGGAAATTATGATTTATGAAATGTTGATGGGGAGGAAGTGCGAGTATGACTAATTTTATCATTAAACATTTCTTAGCTGCACTCGTCCTATCTAACAAATAAAAATCTTTTCAACTTTTGGTTTACTGGTAAAAAATTTGTTATTGACCTATATTTTTCTTTAAATAGATTATATCTATTTATAAGTTAGTAGTTAAATATGTGGTAATTTAAAAAAAAATTAATGACACCTTTTTAAGTTATAAGGGATGAAGCTAAATATAATTAATAACTGATGATAAATAAAGAACTTAAGTGACTAATAAAAACAATATTTTGGCTAATAATAATAATATTTTAGCATTAATGTCCAAATTAATATAAAATGTAAAAATACTGTATCATTATATAAAAATATTACATATGTTAAAAATTGCAAGTAAAATTTTGACTTTAACTCAAAATATGATAAATATATTTTTTGATTTTCAGTCATTTATTTTTCAATTTATTGAGTAGCTATAAAAAAACTTCAAAAGAAAAGTAAAACAACTTTATTTTTCAGTTGGTCACCTTCACCCATTAATTCTAGCTTTTAATAGCCCAAGTAGTAAATATAGAGGCTCCAAATATATTGTACTATAGACACATAATTCTACCACTATGAACTATATCAAATTTTTTTTTCTAAAAATGAAATTTTACTTTAAAATTTAAAGTTTACAAAAATTTTTAATCAAGTAGATAAAAATTAATTTAAAAAATCAATATTTTTAATTTTTACCTTAAAAAAATGTTTATATTAAAAAATTCTATTTATTTATTATTGAAATATACAATTTTTATTTGTTTGCTCAATTGAACATTTTTTGGAGAAGTTAAACATCATTTTTTACTTACTGCATCATACGACTGCAGTGCTGTATCTTTAAAGTTGAAATTATTCACCCCCTAACTATACAAACTACTTCTCTTGTAATTCAGTAAATATAGATTTGTAATGGCATCTATAATTTAACAGTGTCTGTCGAACTAAAAGAATCACCCTGTATAGAAGAGATACTAACAAATAAAATATGAGTTTTAAGGAATTCATTATTTACCAATTTTCCTGAAGTAGAAGTATCTACAATAATATTACTAATTGATCTTGATACAATTCGCCGATTTCTATGACAATCATTAATTAAACTAGATCGTAATTGTTCTCTCACTCCAGCTATTGTTTTAAATTCACTGTTGTCTAGACGACTATTAGGATTAATATTTAATAAATCTAATATAGATACTCCCAAAGACTTTCCAACCTAAATTTAAATTAGTTTAAAATTTACATTAGTTTTTGAATCATAAAGAAAAGTAATTACTTACTTGTTCAAAAATGATTGGAGTAAATTTTGGAGGTACGAGATTTTGTACAATTCTTTTTTCTGGAACTAAATTAACTGTTGGTGGAATAAAATTTACAAATCTACCAGTATTATAATTGCATTCTAAGGTATAACTTCGAATCAAACCAGTATACTTCAGAACTGCTACTCGTCCACTGCCTTCTTTACTTAGACCAAATTTTTTATCTCTTATAACAAAAAAATATATATATTAGGGCTCCTCTTAAAAGCAAAGTTTTGAAATTCAATGAATATGTCCCTAAAATTGTTTCATTATATAAAAAAATAAATTATACAAAATTTGAGTGAAATTGAGTGTTGTTAATACGTGCAAGAAGGTTGAAGCTCAACCCTAGTAAAAGTAGTTTTTCTGTTTTAGTCAATTAGCTATGAAATCCACATATTCTAATGATATAGTGTAACACAAACTAAAAGTTTACTACAAATGAATATTCACTTAATGAGGGTAAATCGAAAATTCAAACTTATTTTAACAAATTGTACCTCAATCCTAATAAAACTGTATAGATTTACATCTCAATAATCCAGATACAAATAAGAAACTAGACCTATAAATTTATAAATACAGTATCTTTAATAAAAAGTACCAAAGCATCTTTGTGTAAAAATCATCAGATTCCTCTAGTCCCAACAACAACTGGAAGGAATAAAATACAAAGCCAAAACCAGGAACAACATAATCACAAAGCTTGATAAGGTTAGTTAAAATGCTAGTAAAGTTCTTTTCAGAAGCTCTACTATTATATTCATGTATTTTTTTTTCCACATCCGGCATTAATGTTGACCGCCCTGGAACTACCATTAGGTATTACTTCAGGGCTGCCCACGCCAGAAAGAAGTTTATGCTGTAAAAAGCAAAAACTCAATTTCATCAAACTATGCACATTATTACAGGAGGTAACACCAAGTCTTCAATGGATTGACAAAAGAGTGAGTGAATCAAAGGAATATCTCTTAGAAAACTAAATTACTCTTTAAAGATTAATTTAGTTGACCTAAGATTAAGGAGATATAGAAAAACTCAAAAAAGTAGAACTAGAAGTAATTCTGACAAAATATGCAGTAATAACAAATAATAATTATGTTATAATATTTGATTGAAATATGTTGATTTTTATTTATAAATTTATTTAAATGAGATATTTTTACTAATAGTAATTTCATTTATTTTATTTTTTCTAATATTACAAAAGAAGACATTTTTCCATAATAATACCCAAAAATTTGAACGTTTAATGAAATAAATTAATAAGGTTGAACAGTTTGTCTGCAATATTTCAATAATCAAATAAAATAGATTTAAACGGTTTACATAAGAATATGTTGTTTTTTCTATTTTTATGTTTAAATATCTCAGATAGTACTTTTTTGTACTATTTTTTATAGTAAACTATTAGTTCTACTAATTAAATTTAAAAATTTCTTTTATAAATAAGATACTTTGTATAATTGACAAAAACAAAAAAACTACTCTTACAGTTAAATTTTTATTCCTCTAGCACTTTTTAACATTTTAATTTTACCCAAATTTTATACAATTTATTTTTTAAATAATTTTAAGGCATATTGAATGAATTTCCCCCAAAAAATTGATCTATATAGCTAATAATTGCCCTAATGATGTATGTGTACTATACGGTACAAATAAAAATAGTCATAAAATCTTACTTTGAGTACATGTTACGTTCACTAAAATTACAAGAAGAAAAATGAAAATTTTGGTTATTAATAGACATTAATTTTGGATATAGTCTGCATTCAATGTTATCTATGATACTATCAAAATGATTTCCATACATAAATATTCCTAGAAAGTATTATTATACAATGTATAAATATAATGTATAATTGAAAACAACAAAAAATATGATGCATGAACTACCTTTTTTTGATGCATGACCATGAAAATCAACATATAAAAATAATCCTGATTTAAATCCTTTTTTAACAACCAATTCAGTTGTAAATGATTGGCTTTTTTTAAGTAAATTATTGCACAAATTTTGTTTATTTAAAATTGGAACAATTGTACTTGTATTGTTAAATATCATACAATCTTCTGCTAACATATCTTTTATCCTAGAATTTAACTCATCATCATTATCAGAAGGATTGCAAAAATTAAGATTTAATGATAAATCTAATGAATTTGAATTCTCTTTAATAAATTCATCACGTAACTCATATCCAAAATGATGATACAATATGAGAGATCTATAAAATATTAATATTTATGAATAAGTATATAAAATTTTGCATCATTTTAATAAAAAGGTTGTCAAAACTACTGATAATAGTACTCATACACTTTAGTCTGACAAAACATGTTTAGATTTTTAATTATATTTTAATACCACAAATCAACCTATATCTCCTTAATTTTTTTACTATGTAAATTATTGATTTAAGTAAGAAAAATATATTGTCATTTTCTAAAACTATTGTTTCTTTTTTACATAAGAATAGAAAACAATACAACACCATATAAGAACATCAGCATTTGAAAGTGAAAATATTTTAAAATACGAAAGTTCAGTAGTTTTGTAATAACCATTATAAAATGGTATTTTATTAAGACCTTGCAGCATAAATAGATGGATGAAGCTTTAAAGATGGATTAAGATAAAATCGGTTTAGATTACAACCTCTAGTGTCTGTACGATAAAAACCTTTAGCAACTCCATCAGGATTCAACATTGGAATAAGTTTAAAAACAAAATTTTGTCTAAGCATACTAGCTTGTTCATCTTTACTCAAAATAAATTTTATAAAACCATTCATTACAAAACTTGAAGGAGTTTCACCAGGATGTACTCTTGCACTCATTATTACAACCTAGAAAATTTAATAACAAAATTCACAAAAATATTAGATAAATTTAACATTAAACATTTAAAAAATAACAAATCAAACAGTCCATAATGCAAAAATAATATTAATTTAGTATAATTTTGCTTTAAAAATAAAAATTATAATTTCATAAAACTATGGTATTACTATTAATTAAAGTATTTCAATTTACCTTCTTATTTTTAAAAACGTATGGTCTAACATTATTTTCATTAGGAAATAATCCAAATAAACAACTTTCTCTTTCTTCAGTAACTCCTTTAAAGGAGCTAATAGTAATCAAATCAACAGAACGGTTTTCTAAAGACTTCACAATTGTTTCTCGATGAAAATATACATCTTCTTCACTTCGTTCTAAAATTAATTTTTTTAGGATTAATGTATAGAATTTTCAGTAAGGAAGCAGGTTTTCTTTTTTCTCATTGTTGGTAACAACTGACCTGTTTCCTTACTTTTTGAACACTCTCAATTATATAATAAGAATTGATTACTTATAGCTATTATTTAAAATGAAAAATATTCTTTTGATCAATATATATTTAACAATATTTGTAAAATAATACCTTTTAAATCTGTTGGAAGTGGAAACTGTTTTTCATAGACAGTTAATAAAGAACATAAATCTGAATATGTATATGGATAAGTAAATGCATAATATGTTAATACATCAGAATTTTCTAATGGTTGGTGACTAAAGCTTAATACAAATTCATTTTTTTCATTGGCCTTAAATTAAATTTTAGTTACTTAATATTTTTTATTTAAAAATATAAACTTAAAAGATTAAAACTATTAAGCTTCAATTACTTAATTCTACATAAAAATCATACCTGATAAGTAGGTATCTCTTTAATTCTTGACCATGAACCTTTAAAAAACTTTTTGTTAGGTTTTTCGTTCTTACCTAAGTCAACTTTAAATACAGGGGTCATTCCTTGACTATACATTTTACTCTGTTTATTTAAATTTACTATATTTAATCTTACAGCTATTCCTGGAATACCCCCTTAAAAAATAATTAAAGTTGAGTATATGAAAATTGAAAATTATAAGAACATATACCTTTTATAGCAAAGTAAAACCATGATCTATAATTACATTCAAATTCTGTACCACTGCAGTCAGGTTTTGTCCATAAATAGAATTCCAAATCATCATCTACAGTAAATAAAGGAAATAAAAGGTCTGTATATATAAATATTATATATACAAAAATTTTCATACCAATACCAGGTGTTTGTCTGTGTATGTATTTAACACGAGCAAGATTTGCTGATTCAAAATTACTTAAAATTGTATATAAATCATAAGTAAATACACCTTCACAAATTTCAGGTAAAAATTCTGATGAGGTGTTCATTTTTAAAACTTTTTGTACTATAAAAAAGTGTAATTACGGAACATAGGTAGTTTTCAATATGACCTATTTTCTTTACATACATATATAAGTCTCAAACTTTCACTAATAAAAATAAGGAGCACAAAATATAACGTAACAAATTACGAATCATAAAGCAATTAAACAGAATTTAATCTGTTAAAGGTAATTAATTACAAGTTATATTTTTCATCGTTGTTTAAAATTTATTAAATAAATGTACTGAATACTTGTTACAAAAAGTATACAACTACAGCTGCAGTAAATAGATTCTGGTAAACAGCTGTTAATCATATGTTGATAATTATAAGCTTGGCCTATTTAACTGTGATTATAACACGATATTTAATTATTATACTTATAGTTAGTATAGTTCATAGCTGATAAACCAATAGAACGATAAAAACAATCGATTAAATAAATTTTTGTTCAAAAAAAGAAACAGACATTTTTATTTTATTATATTGCTAGGAAGCGTTTTGAGAAAATGGATTTGTAAAAGGAAAATCATAGTAAAAATCACTATTTAAATTAAAATTACTATATCCAATCTGAGGTATAAAAAACCTAATGAATACATGTGTGAAGAGATAAGATAATAGTTTCTTTAATTTTTATCAACTTATTAAACGAGACTATTTTAATGGTCAAAGAAGATAAAACGAGCGTATAATACGATATTTTGAATTAAGCGGGAAATTATAAGCGTACTAGTTATAACGTTAAAAAATATCTTATTTGAGTGGAAATTTGCAAGACTGAATAACACCTTTTACCATTTAAAAAGCTACTCATTGACAATTAAGAATTCATTATCATCTACGAAGTTAACTAATAATATAATCACAAATAGATAAAATCTTATCTATACTCTGATATAACCACTATCTGTAATCATTTATTTTGCTTAACATCTAATATTTAGAATGGAGTATAAATTAATAACTGAATTAAAGCAAAAATTAAAGCATTATTGTTTTGATATAGGAACATCTTTTAAAATGTGGTTTAATATCAACTATTTCACTCTAATTTTCCTTATTATTTTCATTACTATAAAAACAAGTAATTTCTTAACAATAATATTTTTAATTTTAAGGCGTGGTAATTTACATTTAAACTTAAAAATTTTTTTTTTTAGCGTTTAGTATTTCATGCTATCAGTGTAATAGTACAGATTTACAAGATCAGTTTAAGTGTACCGAATTTATGAATGACGCTGATCTTATGCCAACTCCATGTACTGAAGTTTATAATGCTGCTTTTTGTATTAAGCTTACTGGTCGTTATGAAGGTATAAACTTATAAGCATGGTTTAACATATGCATTCTTTTTTATAAAAATGTATTTTTATTAGGAGGATTAGGAGTGAAAAGATACTGTTCATCACATGATTTAGGAAACTATTGTGATTACATTAAGCAGCCAGGCGATTCTTTTGAATACAGAACTTGTGTTTATACATGTAATTCTGATGGTTGTAATGGTTCAAATCAAAATTATTTATTAAGATATTTATTTATTTTTTCCTTTTTACCTATCATCAAATGGTTAATTATTTAACAATGTATCAAAAAATGGGAAAAAATTATAAAATATAAGTTATATTATAGATATTTTGACTATAGTTATAATTTTTTATTTGATATTATTTAAATTTTTAATTATAAATTCATTTAATTGTATAATTTTAAATAAGTAATGTAATAAGGAATTAACATTCCCATAATTGTTATAACCTTGTATTGAACACATACTTTTTATATTTTTAAAACTTTATTTTATTTATCAATATTTATAAATTTAAAAAATATTTTTATAATCAGCTTAAGACAAATCCGTCCAAATTGACTCAAATATTTTTTTTACACTTTTATAATACAACATTTAATTGAAAAAATTCTTTTTAATAAAATTAATTCTTTTTAAACTTTTTTGTTTTCATTGGATATTTTAAAAAGGCCAAAAAAGCTTTTCACAGGGTCTAATATTATATATCTTTCACTATCCAATCCTTTTATAGATAATACATCATTAACATTTAAGTAAGTTAAGCCACCAGTGTAACAAGAATCAGATTGTGTTTCTCTATGCCTAGTAGTTGTACAGCCAAGTATTTTTTCATCATTTTTTATTATATAATAACCATTGATGTCGTGCTGATCAGAATAGTAAATCTATAATAGATAATAAACATGTTAATAATTACTAAATTTATAAGATAAATACATAGTACACAATACTATACTTCTACAGTATTTTAATTAAATTTATTTTCTTTGTATACTACAGTGGAACTTCAAAGCGCCATCATCAAAGTTTAAAGACATATCTAAACCATAATCAGCGTAGAGTTATGAATCATTCATTACATCTATATTTCATGACTAATCTGATTATGGTTTGGATATATCTTTAAACTTGGATGACGTATACACGAGTAGTAGTTAATTGAAGTTCTACTGTAATAAATTAACTATTTTCTGATCAAGGTGATAAACTAATTTTCACACCTTGTTTGTATTTTAAATTATATTATCATCTTAAATACTATTTGAAAAGTTATTATAAGGCTAAAATAATACCTCAAATTATTATTATATAGAGAATTATAAAATATGAGGATATGACAGAGTTCATGGAGGGTACGGTTTTAGTAGGAAGAATGAGGCTGGAGAAAGACTCCTGGATTTCGCATTATCGTATAATATTTCTGTAGTTAATACTTATTTAAGAAAGAGGAAAGAACATTATATAACTTATAAGAGTGGGAGGAATAAATCACAGATTGATTATTTTATGTGGAAGAGAATGAGCATAAATCGAGTAAAAGATTGTAAAGTTATACCAGGCGAGAGTCTAATTACACAACATAGACTGATGGTATGGAGGTGTGGTGTACCGGAAAGAGAATATACAAAAATAGAAGGAACACTGGGGAAAAATCGAAGATCCGGTGGTAGTAAATGAAAAAGAGTTTGTAAAGACGGTAAAAAAGAGGACGGTGTAGAATGTCGAGGGAAACATAAATGATCTGTGGAATAAATTTGCTAGTTGTGTAAAGAATACTGCAAAGGAGATTATTGGTGAGAATAGGAGTAGAATGCCAGGAAACCTGGTGGTGGGATGAGGTCGTTCAAAAAATCATAGAAAGTAAGAATAAACAATTTAAAGTATGGCAGAAGAGCAAAAGGAGAGAAGATTGGATGGAGTATAAACGCTTGTGCAAAGAAGTCCACTAGACTTCTTTAAGTCAAGCAATAAGTAAGGCGAAGTTTAAGAGGTATGCTGAATTATATAATAGGCTAGGAACAAAAGAAGGCGAGAAAGAAATCTATAGACTTGCAAAAGTAAGAGAGAAAAGGTCTAAAGATTATCATTATATAAGATGTATAAAAGTGTTGATAATAAGGTACTCTCGAGTGATGATAATGTGAAAAAAGGTAGAAAGAGTAATTTGAAAAATTATTGAATGAGGAGTACCCAAAAGAGACATTAGAGGATATCTTGTGGAATGAGGGACTGGTAGATTAAATTAACGAGAAAGAGTTATAGGAGGCTGTGGCATCAATGAAAAAAAAAAAAAAAAAGAATAAAGCAGTAGGACCAGATGAAGTGCCATTAGAAGTATGGAAAATATTAGTCGGTGTTGGCATAAGGTAGTTGAAGGAACTTTTAAGTAAAATCTTATTAGAAGGAAAAATTCCAATTGAATGGAGGAATTGTATTATGGTGCCGATATTTAAACGTAAAGATGACATACAGGAATATGGAAATTATACAGGCATAAAGCTTATAAGTCATAGTATGAAAAATTGGGAAAAGGTAATAGATAAGAGATTAAGAAATGAGACATCGGTATCTAAGAACCAGTTTGGATTTATGCATGGTAAGTCAACAATAGAGCCAGTATTTTGTGTGGAAATTTAGGATAAGGGTGACCGACCCCAAGTAGTTGGGATTAAGGCGAGGAAGAAGAAGAGTTATAAAATAAGACCGAAAAAATAAGAGCCTCTAATTTATTAATTAATATCTATTTTTAATTTTTTTTTTTTCAATATTATCATTCAAAGAAAAAATTAGAAACTATCAATAAGGCAATAAACTTGAAATTTGGAAATATTATTTCCATTGTTATTCAGAGCAATTTTTCAACATATAAGGATGCTACCAAAACAAACATTATAAAAAATGTAACACAATTTATAAAAAAATTTTAGTTGGTAAAAATTATTTTTTTCAACTCTACGCTATATTATTAGCTATTAGTGTGTAATGCAAAATTTTATTCGTATCACATGAAATTTAAAAATATGTATAGTGATTAATTGTTTACAACATAATAAACAATTTTGTCTAGAGTTAGCAGGTTTTCCAAATAAGTTGTTAAAAAATAAATCCTGGTTTTAGCATTACTTATTCATTGATCAATTATTGGTTACAATTTAAATTTACCTTTAACCAAGATAAATTTATCCACCTTATAAATCTACCTTGCCTTTTTAAAGAAATGATTTACATCATGGATTATTTTGACCTCTATACCCCCTCAAGGTCATGCTCTTGATCAAGATATTTAACTTACAACCACACTACCCTAAATATTTTTTAAAAATGCTATTGAATCAAATCACAGACTTCTATTTTAGCTTTCTTTAGAACTGCATAAATATAGAGTTTTAAGACTTTGAATATTGTAATATACTTGAGCATAAATAAAATAAAGTCCACTTTTGAAAATTTCAACTTTTCCATTCTTCATTTGAAAGCTATGGACATTATTTATGTTGGCATCCCAAAGATATGGCATCCAATCTTTAAATTCACCATCTGGATGTCTTAATCGGCCGTTTCCTACACAATAAGTTATTAAAAAAATCAAGTAATAATGCATAAAATAAATCAGTTAATTATATCATTTTTTAAAATTTCATCAGATTACATTCTATAAATGAAAATTTATATGTGTAATAATAATTCTTTAATAGGGTGAAGTGTAAAAATGTATGTCTAAAAATACACATACATTTTATTTAATTTTTTCATGGTCAAACTAATGCTGTCTGGAGGTTTCTTATAAAATAGATCCTTCTCCCACATAAGTAGCTCCATTATCTAAATTTGTTATAAAATTGGAAAGAGACATAATATATTCCCCTAAACTAGAAAATATTTTCATAAAATTATTAATTTCTAAATTTTTGAAGGAGTTAATATAAATTAGAGAACTAAACCCCCTTGACCCTTTTATTAATGTTAGTAGATAGCTCCATCTTATATTGATAAAGTAATTTATTTATCTTTGNTATAAATTGGAGAACTAAACCCCCTTGACCCTTTTATTAATGTTAGTAGATAGCTCCATCTTATATTGATAAAGTAATTTATTTATCTTTGTAGTAAGTATAGAAAATATTAGGCGGTGTTAGCATAAGGTGGTTGAAGGAACTTTTAAATAAAATCTTATTAGAAGGGAAAATTCCAATTGAATGGAGGAATTGTATTATGGTGCCGATATTTAAACGTAAAGATGACATACAGGAATATGGAAATTATAGAGGCATAAAGCTTATAAGTCATAGTATGAAAAATTGGGAAAAGGTAATAGATAAGAGTTTAAGAAATGAGACATCGGTATCTAAGAACCAGTTTGAATTCATGCCTGACAAGTCATCAATGGAGCCCGTATTTTGTGTGAGGCAACTAATAGAAAAGTTTAGGGAAAAGAAGAAAAAGCTGTGTATGGTATTTATAGATTTGAAGAAAGTGTATAATAGAATTTTTAAAATGGGCATTAATGAGAAAAGAATTCCCGAAAAGGTACATTAATATAATAGAGGATATGTATGATGGCCCTTATAGGGAGGAAATTAATCAAAGGCTAGAGGTGTGGATCAACTTTTGAAGAAAAGGGTTTAAGAATAAGTAGAAGTAAGAGTATATAGAATACGAGTTTGACAATGAAGAACACGAGGTAGATGAAATAAGGAGACTAGTGACAATGACGACGTGTTAGGAGAGATGGAAAGTTTTAAGTATTTAGGATTAGTTGTGCAAAAGACCGGTAGTATTGACGAGGATGTAAGACACAGAATTAAGTGTGGGTGGTTGAAGTGGAGAGAAGCGTCTGGCGTCTTATGCGATAAAAGAATTCCAATGAAGCTGAAAGGTAAATTCTACAAAACTGTAATAAGGCCAGCTATGTTGTATGGTTCAGAATGTTGGGCGGTTGATAAGAAAGTAGAGCAGAGATAAGAATGCATAGATGGATAAGTGGAGTGACTTAAAAAGATAGAATAAGGAACAAATATATAAGAGGGAGTATAGGTGTAGCGTCAATCGTGGATAATATGAGAGAAGATAGACTTAGATGGTTTGGTTATGTTATGAGGAGAGAACAATCGGAAGCTATAAAAACAGTTATAGAAATTAATGTTGAAGGAAGAAGAAGTAGAGGAAGACCAAAAAAGAGATGGAGGGATGCTATTGAATGCGATTTGAGGACAGCTGATGTCAGCGTAGATGATGTGGGAGATCGTGTCAAGTGGAAGTTTAGGATAAGGGTGATCGACCCCAAGTAGTTGGGATTAAGGCGAGGAAGAAGAAGAAGAATTTATTTATCTTTGTAAACTTAACTTTTGCTATGAAAACGAATAATATTACGATCAACTTATGTTTTTGTAACAAAATTACCTAAATCTATTTATATATTTTTTTGTTTTATGTAAAATATTTTTAATAAAACAACTTTTAAATTATTAATAGATATTTTTTAACATACCAAATATATAAAAATGAAACAATAAATCGAATTTCAAATATTATCATTCATTGGTACAATTCAAGTTAAATAACAAAAATTTTAAAGATTTAAAATAAAAAAAAAGTGAACGAAAAAAATATAAACTATATTTTAACATAATCATTTGGTCATGATTGGACCATCATCCTCTAGACCACCCTTTGGTAAAAATTTTTATTAAATCTAATATTCTTGAAATTTACCATGATAATGTGAATGTGTTTTGGTGTTATACTTAGAAGAGTCGCTGGTGAAATGAGCTGCAGCAAAAGTTTCTATGGCTTCCTTAAAATCTTCTTCATCTGTATCTTCTTCTACAATAATTTTTTTCCTGGAAGTTCCTACTTTTTTTTGTTTGTGACGGATATATGTTCTAACAGTATTTTCTTCGCTCTCTTCTGATTCTATATCCACATCAATAATTTTCTTTTGATTGCTTGGACTAAAATATTTAAAAATTATTTAATTGATATATCTATGTTTATAAATAATTATGTAAACATATAAAATAGAATACATTAAATCTAAATGTATCATAGATATAAATTTATAAAAGAAAATTAAGGGACTAAATTGATTTATCCTACCTTAAATTTTTTTATCTAAAAATACATATAATTTTCTAAAAATCTTGAGGGGGGGAGGTTAATAAGCCATCCTGGTTTACATTTTAGATGCTTATATTTTATGAATCTGAATCATATATGAGTCAATTTTATAGTTAGATATATCACATATTACATAGTTTTAGTTTTAGTTATTAGTAAGGTGGACATAATGCCCATGCACTCAGACCTATTAGTCCATTGTGCACACCTCATACCAAATCTTGATTCGGTTTAACACCTAAGTGTTAATACATTACACCTATTATTTTTGTAAGGGTGGACCATCAAGTCACCCCTTGTGAATGACCAAAGAATCCTGTCTTTTTGTCGAAATTATATATCTCTTTGGGTCTTAGGTTTTTAATATCTTCTTTTTCAGGAAAAAGTTTACTCAAGAAGTTTGACCTCAGTATGGACAAAGCTTCACATTCACACATATGTGAAATGAGTCTTCCTTTTCTACTCCACACTTCCTACACAATGGTGATTCCGATACCCCCATTGCATAAAGATGATTAAGCAAGTGACCATGGCCTATCAGTAGACCAGTTAAAGTGCTTATTTGTTGTCTACTTATGCTATTAGGATCACCTAGCAGTAGACCGGGGTCTTGATAAACATTTTAGATTGAGTTTTTCAGGTCTAAATTTTAGACCCTCGATTTTGTCAGCTACTGCTCCCAGATGATCTTGCGATTCCTGGTCTGTATTTGTTGATGTTGCAGTCTCTTTGCTAGTAGATGGTTCTCCAAGTGTTCTGTTATTCGCATTAAGACTTTCAAGTTCGACAATTTTTCTGCGAAAAGCCACCAGTTCAAGTTCTTGTTCCGACATGTTGTCTGTAGGATCCCTGTTCATCCCAAATTCGTTAAATGAAGGTCCATCACAGCAGAGCTCGATACTGTGATAAGGCTGTATACTCTACGGTGCACCAGGTGTCATAGAGGATCTCAATGATCACTTTACCTTTCGGCTAACTATCCTGTGACAAGTTAGCAACCCTTTCACTTAGTATGGCTAGGTTAGGGGGTCTACTCGCTGTTAGCAAGCAGATATGCCTAGGCGATCCCAACTAGCCAGAGTCATGACTGGCTATGAGCAGTGGTACGTGTTGCCATCCCCACTAAATTAAGTAGAGTCTGCGGGGTTGTTAAGCCCGTGTTCCTTACAGACCCCAAAGCGAGTCACATATTACATAAGTGTAAAATATATATAACGACTGCTTGTCCTCAAATAACGCTTTTGGTTGTAAGACCGTTTATTATTAAAAAGTAACAATATTCAGATTTTTTTCCTTTACTTATACTACAAGACCTACTTTTTTGTCAAATTTTACTTTTCTTATAAGTGAAGTGCATAGACGTATCTACGGAGTGTGCCAGGTAGAGCTCTGCATGGTTCGGTTTGAACCGGTCCGGACTGAACCAGACTAGACCACGGTTCGGTCCGGTTAGGTCTTATACTTCAAATAATAAATAGTCCGGTCCTAGTTGGTCTGTAGTTAAAAATTATCGGTCATTTTTTTTTTACAGTCTCTTAAAAAGTTCATCAGTCAAGTCCTGGTCTTTAAATGAATTCAAGGACCCGGTCTCGATCCGTCTTCAAATTGAGATAATAGTCCTCTTTTAATAGCAGTATAGTATTATAAATATATTTGTATTATTGTTTATAGTAGAAACTCGCGTGTGATATAATAAAAAAAAAAATTATAATTTTTATCGTAATAGGTTTAAATGGTTTTCATTATAGTGAACGATGATAACACTCACTAAAAATTAATACAATAAATGTCACATAAATGCTGAATTCTTTCAAATAATGACCCACGTGCCAATAGAATTTCCAGGATCCTGAAATGTGATTTAAAATCATAGTGCATAATGTATTGCTTTCTTACNATCATAGTGCATGATGTATTGTTTTCTTACACTGTCAATCGTTAAGTGTATCATATTATTTCATAGTTTTTCTGCACATTTTGGAATAAACTGATTTTATGTTTTTATTGACTATAATTATGTCTAGACATAGAAAGGCTATTACTGTCCATCTAACATACAATATTATTTTAATTCAGTTAAGACTTAAAATCGTGTTTTTAAAGAATTACCCTTGTATTGATAACAATATTACATTTAATGAGTCTTTGTACATTATGTTGGATAAAATAAAGTTGGGAAATATCAACTAACATAATCATCTAGCTTTATTTCTTTATCATCAACGAAAGACGTCAGTTATTTTCAATCTGCCTGTAAGTATTTTTTCTTATAAAATAAATTTTTAATTATTTAAAAAATAGTATAATAAAAATAAGCACATATGCTTTTTAGGAGAGATAGAAAAATTTTTGTTTTGTACAGCTTTATATTGATAGGTGTTAATTTTTTGTTATAAAATTAAACGTTACTCATAAAATATTTATCGACGCAAAATAATATGCTAATAATAACTTGTTGAACCAAAAATTTCACTTAGGCTAAATAAACTAACGGTTTATACTTAACATTTTAAGTGAAAGCTTATTCAAATATATCGTAATAATTAACAATCAGTCATGATTTAATTACCCCATATGTAAGACAATATTTTTTTCGATTAAATAAATTTGATGGTATGAAAAAAATTGGGGTTGCCATTTGACATTCGAAATGGTAGCACAAAATTAATTTTTCGTTTAAATTTCTCAACAATGAATCGTTAATGTAAAAAAATAAAAAATTAATAATAATAATTTCAAAGCTATTTCGTGAGGCATAGTTAAAAAATCATTCTGTATGTATAAACTAAATATGTTAAATTCTGTACAACACGAATTTGAAATTATTAGTTTACTCAAGGATCTTTTTGAGTTATTGAATTTTGTTTATAGCCTATACAGAGTGATCCATTTATCATAAATCATTAACTTAATTACACACAAAATAAAAATAATTATAGTTAAAAAAAAACATTTTAGTGTTGTTTTTTTTAGAATCATGAATAATTCTCAACAAATTCGCGAGTTCTTGAACTCAACTTCGGTGAGCTCTATTGATGATGACTTTTCAAATAATTCTATTATTCCTTCTAACTTAGAGAACACAACTCAATCAACAATAAATTTAGAAAAAAATTCAGCATTTACTGTCTCTAAAAATACTGTTAAAAGAAAATTATTGAGTGATTCTGATGATTATACTTTGTTTCCTCACGAGGGGAAAAGTAGTGTATGGAAGAAATTTAAAAGTGTTATGAGTGTGACTTCCAATTATACTGACCCTGATAGTCCCGAGCGTGTGTTAACAGGATTTGTAGCTTGTATGCACTGCAAAGAGGTTTATGGTATAAAAACAGGAACTGCTACTCTTGCAAGACATAAATGTAATATAGTAATAAGTAATCAAAAATCTATCAATGAGTTTTCCGTGTCGACAAATAAAGTCAAAAAAGTTATACCAAAACTTTTGAAAGACGAAGCGATTGAAAAATGCGTTAAATATTGTTGCTTAGATATAAGACCTATGTCAGCTATAGAAGGTGAAGGTTTTTTACAATTTGGCCAGTTTTTATTAGATGTTGGTACAAAATTTGGTAAAACTGATATTAAAGATTTGTTACCCCACCCTACAACCATATCTTGGCATATAGATAAGACCACCAAAGAAATAAGACAAAATTTATTCAAAGACTTATTTCAAACTATAGTTAATAAATATTGTGCATCTACTTGCGACATGTGGACAGATAATTACCGTAAAAATAACTATATGTCAGTTACTTTTTACTATGTAGACGATAACTGGGAGTTAAAAAGTCGATTACTTTTTACTGGTCAATTTCTTTCAAATGAAGCAAAAACTGGCGAAAATATAAAACGTTTTTTACATAATTTTTTTTTTCAAATAATTGAGGCTGCAAATGAAACTAATTGTGATTTAATGTCTAATATAACATTTATTACTGACCAAGGAACTAATGTGATATCAGCACTTAGAAGTTTTAAGTGTCTCAATTGCTATGCACATTAGCTTTATACAGTTTTAAGAAATTTATTCGGTGATAAATTTTTGAATAATGAAGATGAAGACGGTGAAAAACCTCTGGAACCTGTTACAATATTAATGAATGAATGTAAACATTTAGTAAGGTATATGAAAAGCAGTGGAAGGAATTGTGAACTTAACAAAGGACTTGTACAAGAAGTAGAGAGTAGATGGAACACATGATTATTAATGTTGCAATCTGTACAACGTGCACTTCCAGAAATTATTGAAATTCTTGGACAAACATTTAGTCGTGTAAAAAATATTAACGGAGAGTTATTGAAAAAACTCGTTGAATTTTTAGAACCATTTAAAGCAGCATCTGATAAACTTGAATCTGATATACGCCCTACTATTCACAAAGTTATTTTGTATCAGGCGTTATTAAAAAACATTTAACTAAATTTACAGAACTGCAAGAATGCAATCATATTAATGGCGATGTCAACATTTTGATTATACTAAAATTATTAGGTAAGAAAGGATTAGTACTCATGAACTCCATATTCCAGTTGGACATTGACACATGAAATAGATGTATTTATATTGCCGAAATTCAAATCGTTAAAAATGTTTTCTGAAATTGACAAATTGAGAATTTTAGATGAAATTGATATGAAGTTATATAAAATTCAATCAGAGGAAACTAATGAAATTTATAGTGATTCACGACAAGAAAATCTGAATCGGTCAAATAATAAAAAAAATACCATTTTTTCGGAATTGAAAGATCTTTTAAGTGTAGAAATTTCAGAAAGTCGCTTTAAATATAAAAAGGAGTTGGAAGAATACAAAAATAAATACTTTGAC